TGTGTGGGAACAAAACACTCAAAGCGGTACAGAGGTCAACAGCATCAAGTTTTCTTTTGAATGAAATAGTAAAGCAGTATGACAAAGTCAGTAACATTGCCCCAGAGTCTACAAGTCACACTCATGCATGCACCTGCGATGATGTCAGAGAAATGATCAACATTATTAGTGGACAAAAGACATTTGATTTTCAACCAGGAAGAAACATTAACAGCTTTCCTTCCATTTCAAAAAGTCCGTTAGATCAGCTGGATGTATTTGCCCTGCATGCCTGGTTAACCCGGCACAAGAAACGCCTGGCAGCAAATCCATACAGCTGTGATGACTCAGGCTGCGAGGATGATGACCAAGAGAGTGCTGATGAGGAGGAGGAAGAAGAAGCTATTATTGTTGATGATGCCAATGATTTATAACTTCACCATTTCCCTCCAATAACAATAGTTAAAGGCAGAATCAATTTTCAGTGACCAAAAACCTTGTACCATAGTAATTGAAACAATATTGCCCCCTTTTTCTCCATTTTTCAACGGCTACAGATGTAATAATTAGTTATCTGTAATAACACCAAAGAAAATTTAGTATGAGAGTTCGAGCAAATAAATATCAAATCTCACAAAATGACATCTTATATATGAAATTTTCAGAATTTTACCTGTGTTTTCACAATTCTTGTGAAATTTGATATTTGTTTTCTCGGGCTTCCATGACAATTAGTGTTCTTTGATGTTACTTCAAGTAACTAATAATTATATCTATAGCCTTTAAAAGAAGGAAGCGATATTGTTTAAGATATTAAGAAAATATGATGGGGTTGATCCACTTAAATGTACCCTACAGTTACGTTGTTTGTTAATATTATTATTATTATTATTATTTTTATGCTATGCTAGAGCTTGGGGTGAAGTATGCTTCTGAATAATACAAAAAATGTCCGTTGCAATCTTAGAACTATATACAGGGAGAATTTCTTCAACCTTTTCAACAGATGTCAATTTGGGAAGGTGTTGCAGAACTAAATCAATAAGATTGATAGAAAATCCACTTGAGAGGGCCACACTGCCAACTGAACTCCTGCCTACTTCACTTTGCAATTTCAGTCTGTAATTTATAAGGTCTTTCTTGATTTCTGCTTGAACACCCTCACTGAACAAAGGAGTTGGCTCATTATCTGACTGATCTCTTGAAGAATCACATGGTTGATCAGGGTACCTGGTATCTACACAGTCCATGTCATCTGCAGCTCTTGCCAATAGGCAGTCATCACAAGCACACTGAGCACTGTGAAAATCACAGCACATATGTGCTGGTCCTTGGGTGGAAGGAACTTTATGATCAAAATAATTTAGAATCATTTTTCTTTTACATTCTTTTGACTTAACATAGTTTCTCATCACATCTGTCATATTTTTTCGTGATCTGAAGATGTCATATGAGTTATAATATATGTCAGCCCTGGCAGGTAGACCATCTCTCCCAGCTCTGCCCACTTCTTGACAATAATCCTCCATTGAGTATGGCACCCCAATGTGTACAACTCTTCGAATGTCATTACAGTCAATACCTAGTCCAAAAGCAATGGTTACAAAAAGAACACGATGGGTTGAAGTGCCCTGTACTAATTCCTCCACAATCCTAGAGCGTTCACTTTCGGGATATTGGGCATGATATTGGGTAAACAATCTGTTTTTGGCCAAGGGTTCAGCATTGGGCGGATAAAATTGATCTTTACCCATCTTTGTGCTAAAATACAAAAAGCAGTCGGAAATAGTTTCAAGGCTTCCATAAATCAACGTAAGGGGCATCTTTACCTTATAGGCTTTCAACTCAGCAACTATGGGTTCCAAAATTGAATCAAGTTTCTCATCACCTCTGTCAGGACGAGTGTGCGATGCATAATAAATGTTTGCTCCGTTTGGGTTACTTTCAACAATTTTTGGATTTGAAAGCCCCAATGTTTCCACTATGCTACATTTAGTGGCACTTGTTGCTGTTCCTGTCAGGGCCACAACTGGTACTAAGGGGAACAAATTGGTTAGAAACCCAATCTTCCCATATGCTGGCCTGAATGTGGACCTTAAACACAAAAGGGAAAAGCCCTTATTGAAAGAAAATTCACGTAATCTTTATCAAAATCTTTTTTTATAATTATCTCAGTGACTCTTGCTTCCTGGCATAATTTAATTACGGCACTACTGTACATAATAATAATAAGAGTACTGTAATTAAATTAAGTTAAGCCAGGAAGCCAGAGTCACTGAGATAATATTAATAAGCTTATACCTTGCAACATTAAAACTAGCTTTATTTTCTTGTTATTGGTGCAACAAAATGTTGTTGTTATCTACTACAGAAGGGACCAGTGGAAACATGTATTTTCAAAACTATATCAACATTATAAGCCAGTTCAGTTCCTGTATGAATGTCACAGGACAAGAAGGAACAACTATATTACTTTTTTAAATAAGATCAACTTTCACTTCAAAATACAGTATTAAAATCCAAGCTACATTGTGACTAAAACTTTTAACTTTAACTTAACTTTTAACTTTTATATGTACATATTAAAATAGAAGATTTATTTACAGATAAATAAGATTTTAATATAGTACGCATGTTTACTATTCTATAAAAAAATCTGTATCTTGTTATTAATTTTAATTGGCTTCATTTAAAATAGTGTGCAAAATAGTGTCCGACTTTTAGTCATTATTAGATAACTATTTTATTTTATTATTTATATTATTTGTTAATAACGTTCATATATAAGCTTAAATGTGTGATTAAGCTTAAGTACACTAACCATTGTTGAACTAGGTGCGCCTCATCGATTACTATCGCCTGAACACTTTCTTGGAAATGCTTTTCTTTAAGCATTTTCGCGGTGTTCTTGTGGTCAACAAAAACCTCAGGATGACCGAACAACAAACTGCATTTCCTCACATCTTGAGGCAAATTTACTTTATTCTCTCCTTCCTCGTCTTCCACACTTTGCACGACACAGACATTTAAAAATCCTTCTAATTTTTTAAGTTGGTCCTTCATTAAGGCATTAAGAGGAGAAACAACTATAACGACAGAGTTTTCTTCTTGCTTGTCCCCTCTGCTTCGAAGGAAATCAAATATTGCAGGCAAAATTTGATAAATTAAAGATTTACCAAAACCCGTCGGCAATACGGCTAAAACGTCCTTTCTTTCAACACAGACAGCCCTTATGGCTTCAAATTGTTCCCTCTTTAGTTCCAGGTCTGGTTTGCCACGTTTTTCCAAAGAGAACTTAATCGCGTCGTGAAACGAATCCTCTGAATTAGACGCCATTTTCCAAACTGGTTTGGGCCTGCGCAGTCGGGACGACAACAAGAATCCTGTTGTCCGGAAACGGATTATCCCAGAGGTCCCGATCCCTGTCGCTGACCAAAAGGATCGCGGCCTCTGGGAACGAGATTGTTGAACGTGGTAACTTTTCAAAAATGCTCACGCATGCGTACTCCAAGATTGTCTAGGCGTCTCCCGGCCGTTCGTCTCGGATACGTCACCGAAATGCATTGACCGAGAGGGCTTGGAAAGACGCCGTATAGGGACTAGGCAAAAAATTGCATAAGTACTGTAATGGTGTTTCATTTTTTTCCGTAAACATTATTTTTAACACTAGGAAAAAGTACCAGGACATACAAAAATAGCTTCAGTATTTTACTAATGAAACCACACAAAGAAATTATTTACATCTGGGCCGAGTTGTTCAAAGCTGCGTTAAGATAACCCAGGGTTAGTGCGAGATTTGAATTGAGATTTGAAAGCTAAAAGCATTTTAGCTTTAACTCTTTTTGTCTACAAGTTGATGATTGGAAGCTCTAAAAATAACAGAGAAAATTATCCGAGAAAACGCTTTCAAACACAAGAAGAAGAAACCCGGGTCAAACCCTAATCGGCCTTCGAACAACTGGGCCTTGTCTTATAGAACTAAAATTGTCTCAACGACGCAGCCGGAAAGGACGGCGTGATCTATAAATCAACCCTATAGTTTTCTATCAGCCAAAAAACGCAAACAAAAATACCGCTTGTGAGATTGCAATAAATACCTTTTGCTATATTTTTGGTAAAGACATTTAAGACAATTGTTTTTCGCGAAGTTTAGATTCGTCTGACGATGATGTTGTGTTGGTCTGCAATGGTCGCTTTTTAATATTTAAAAAACGATTAAACATTTCATGCCACTCAAATTTATTTTAAAATGTTCCATGCCGATTTTAACTTTCTGCTTTTCCATTTATTGAACCCCCAAAATATATATTTATTTGTGTTGTAATAGTCTTTCCAGTTTAGTCACACTCGCGGTTTCCGAGAGAAAAATTATGAAAAACAAGAACGCACTTACCGCGGCAACCGCGTCTCGCCTGCTTGGAGATTACAGGGTCGTAACAAGGTATATGGGATAAGGGATCAACCGCAAAAAATGGAGTGGGATCAGGGATTCAGCGCCGGGATCTGGGATCACAAGCCGTGGGATCGGGATCAGCATTACTGTAAGGGATAAGGGATCCGGTTTTCCGACATCACAACATAGACCACAAAATTCTGAAATGCGCCTTAATTGGAGGAAACTGCCAACATTTTTCAATTCAGTGGTATTTTTGCTGTAACATTTCGATCCGGTACTAAACCGTACTAATGCAATCCTATCTGCTGGACTAAACTTGGACTAGCTTGTCTGCAATACGTGTGGATACTTTTCTTGTATTTAATAAAAGATATTTATGTTATGTTGCTTTTTTTAGCACATTACTTACTCTCTCCTTGTTGACCTGTTAACTCAGTTTGTTGGAGCTAAGATGTCACTTGCTTGCCGAGTACGGATTCTGGAAAAAAAATTACATAATGGACATTGCCCTTCACCAGAGTGACTAATTTCCCTCTTTCCAAACCTATCGTGTGATGATGACAGGCACCCTAAGCAAATATTTAACAAAGATGTCTTAAGAGACGCAGCTATTTTAATTAACAAAATCCTCTTATAATAGCACTTTCTTTTTGCACTTGGTACTTGACACTTTGCACGTTTTTCTGACGAGCCTCAAGAGACTATATATGGCAGCCTTTATACCAAAATTCTAAAAATGATCCCAAAAATATTATTCAAAAATTCACTTTCAAGCCACTAAATGCAAATTACTTTCAAACTTTAAGTAGCTAGCCTACTGTCATGAAAGACATAGCAAATCGATGAAGCTTGCGGCTCTGATTAAATATTCTGCTTGGGAGAAGCTCTGTGATAAAAGCCTATATAAGGCTACGCCGAATAGTCCAAAATCCAGGAAACACAAACCATATAGTCTGGAAATAAATTGCTGCAAATTGGGAAGCCATAATAGATTCTTCAAATTTCCTGTCGCTACACCTTTTGCAAGTTTTATTAGCATTTTGTGAGCTGTTGTTGTTCATACGCTAGCGACAGGGATTCTCTAATCATCCTGGTCTTGTGGAATTCTGTAGGTACTAGTCGTTGGTCAAACCAATCTTTGCTCAAAGACATCTCAGGAGCACAGCATCCACGAACTTACGCGCGTGTGTACATGTACAGCTAAAACATAGACAAAATATTTTTATTTCCTGAAAAAGCATTTTTTATCATTAAATTGGGTATTTCCTTTTATAATATTCCATAATTCTGACGGCGTCACATGAGTGTCCTCTTGTTTCCCATAAACACTGAATGTTATCAACAACACTAGAGATGGGTAACATAAACGACTAGCTACTGCATTTTCCTGCGTATTTATTCACTGAAAATGTCTTGCAAAAAACGCTGGATTAAGATTCTTACTTCGCGCCTCGGTCGCCCTTCGGTCACCCCTCGGGTGACTTGCCGTGCGCCAGCGAGGATATGGCTTGCGGTTATTGATTTTCCAAAGTCCATCTGGGTCAGATAAGAAGCGAAGAAATCGTTTACAGTAGATTCATAAAGATCCTATTGGGCTAATTAATCGTGCTAAGCGAGAGGTATAGACATTTTTTAAGGTGAGACTTTAAATAAGTAATTCATTTATTCACACGGAACTCCTCTGGACCCTATGTAAACATTACAAAAAAATGTAAAATCGCCAAATGATGAAGAAGTAGGTAATTCTTCTAAAAAACATACCCAATTCAAGACTAGAGTGCACAAACCATACCCTATTTCAGACCAAAATGGTCGAAATTGATACCCTATTTCACATTCAGACCAAACCGGCTAAAAAAACATACCTCATAGCCTATATAAGGGACTACCCCCTCCCGCTCGGGGCGAAAAACGCGTTGCAGATTATGATTCTCGCTGCTTGCGCAAGCGAGACTAACAAATCGACCGCGTACTGGTCGTCACGCGTTACAAGGTTAAAAAATGTCACGTGCTATGCAACTGACTTGTGCTTAGTGGGGCAGAACAATATTTTAGTAGAAATCTTAGCAAAGTAAGCATTTGGTTGAATGAATATCGACGAGATCTTGTAATCTTCTCCCTCTGGGATACCAGCAGAGGATCTTAATCATTTCAGTACAATTCAGACAATTGTTTATCTTTTTCGTTTCTTTAAGTATCAGTTTTCTGTGGTCGCCAACTTGGCGACTATTTTCCGAATCAAGGCGACAGTGCAAAGTACAATAATTTTAGCCGCCATGGCGGCTAAAGTGGTCGCAGCTTGGAGGGTTGTAAAGACTTGGTATCTTCGAAATTTGCTGCCTGAGTCAGGAGTTCAAAACGGTAAGAAAATGCAATAAGCACCCGTGTTTCTACACACGGTCAAAAAACCTTTACTTGGTAAAAAGATGGCATGTTCAGTTACAAAGTAGGATTGAATGGTGCGGAAAGCTTCCATGTCGGTTATTTAAACTATGAGACTGTTAAAAAGAACATCGATTGGAGGCTTTCGCAGCAAATGATAAGGAAATGATAGCCTTTTGGTGACCATTTTTCACTGTTTCGGTCCATCATTCAAGCTGCCGAAGTAAGCTCTGCTTTTGGAACGGTCTGGAAGCAATGAACTGAAAACAAGCTTCGACCTGAGGCAATTTCGTAGAGCAAGTACAAAAGAACTATTGCGAACTTGGAAGTAACTTTTTGACGCTAACTCACTTTAGATCTTTTTAAAACTTTTCAAAAAGAAACCAAAACCAATAAGCTTTATGTTCTGATAGTTCGTTTACCATCGAAACGCTATAATCTTTATCGAGAGTCTCTTCAGATTAAGCATGAACGACTGTTTTGCATAGTTTTGTCATACAAGTACTCGGCCTTAGCCTAGTTAAAATATTTCTAGTGTAAGGAAATCGTATTGAATTAGAGAGGGAAACTGAATATAAAGTAGCCTGCAGAACAGGCGTCATTTTTTCACGTTTTTTGGGCGACTGAAGATTATGCGCGAGGCAAGCGCGGAGCGCGAGAACACTTTTACCCGACGCGTTTGTCTCGCGCTCCACGCACGCTTTGTGGCAAAAAAAATAGCGGCTATTCTGCAGGGTGCAAATAAAGGAGGGGCGGTAAAACAGGGAGCAAAAATAAAAGGTGATCTAGGGGGCCCCCTTCTAAACTGCTTACCCATTGTCAGAGCTGGCTCTAAACGTTATACTCGGTTTGGGAACCCATTACCTCGTCCAAGTGAAGTCTAGCTATTTTTGAGCCTTTTTATCTTCGCTTTTAATAGTAGTATCTGACACTGAATAAGTTTGGACAAGAGAGGATAAAGGGGACAGAGAAGGCATCCCTTATACACACCCTATTCCATTGGTAATTCGTCTCTGGTTATTTTTAGAATCGGGATAAATTTACCTCGCGCGCTGCGTGGATATTTTGTGGAGGTTTCGCATGACTAAACGCCATGCTAAACATGTCAGGCGAAAGGCAATGAAAGCGTAAAGAGATCGAGAGCATTTCTGAATATTGAAGCGAAATGAGTCGGCGCTCGCCTGGGAAAAGGGAATCGCTCGACTCTTTGACAACCCGTGAACTCAGTTTAACTCGAAGTTATCGTAACCTCAGTGCTTTAATAAAATGAGAAATTTTTGCCGGTCTATTGAAAACGGTCGCTTGTACAATAAAGCAAGTAGCAAGTAATACTCGTGTACAAGTAATTAGTTTTACAAATTTGAATTTTATTGTAGTTTTTTTAAGTTGTTAAGCGCTGTAGATCAGTGAATGTAAATAGCGCTCTAGAAGTTATTAAATTATTATTATAGGACACCAAGTGTTATTTTTGTCGAATAATAAAAGACTACTAAAAGAATAAATATCAAACCAGAAATTGCTCTCTTCAAACTGTAAATTATAAATGATCCTGAGAGAATATTCAATGTGTTAAGGATGTCCCTGCTGTACTGTTAGCTCTTTTCAAGAGAGGAAGGGCGATTCTTTTTTTATTTCCGTTTCGCTGACACAGCTTTAGCAGAAATCTCTCTTTAGTCGTTTTCGTCGACAAAACGAATAGCAATATTGCTCTCCGCGTCTTCCGCCATTCTTTTCTGCCTCAATTCGTGAAAAACGCATGGCTCTGGTCGTGGGTCATCCACGCGGAACACATTCGCGCTATGTGATTGGCTGTTGTCTAATCCCCCTTGGGATCTGTGGTCTTAAAAATAACTCGAGACGAATTACCTATGGGATAGGGTGTGTATGGAGGATGGCTTCTCTATCCTCTCTTGGTTTGGATCAATTAAGGTTTTCTGGGAAACTGCCCACCTACCCTTCCCCTAAGCCATTATTTTGCCCTAAGTGAGAAGTAAGTGTTAATGTTAGCTTAGGCGAGGGGTAGATGGGCAGTTTCCCAGAAACCTAAATTAATCCATAAGTTTTTTGGCAAAAATATGTTTACATATACTCTTGTGGTTCTATTGAAAACGGTACCCGTTTTCAGTGTCTAATAGGCAAAATCCGTTTTTATGAGGCCAAAACGGCGAAAAAACCATACCGTTTGTGGTACACACCAATATAGCTTACAAAGGGTATTTTCCCTTGGTATGTTGTCACTTATTGCAAAATAAATCTTTTTCCATAGATTGAAGCATCAGACGTACGTCAAGTATGGCATCTTCAAAACAATATACCGATGAACAGCTAAACTATTACAGAATTTGTCATCTAACTACTGATATACTAGCGGAGGGTCTGAGAGAAATATTTAAACAAGAATGGGACAAACTGTACAAATCAACAAAAGGAGAATGGAAAGACGAGCCTCGTAATGGAATAGACTTTTACAACGGAGAGTCTCCTCGAAGTCAAAGAAGAAACGCTCATCTTTTGGCCACTATGAAAAACGGAAACAGGAGGGAATGGGATGTTACAATGCTATTTTTCGCTATCCTTTTCTCTGACTGCGTTGGGCCAGTTCTTAGCGCAATAGTCAGAAAAAATGTCGATGATCTACGAGATTTCAGGAATGAATTCGCTCACATGCCACAAGGTAGTCTCTCTGAGATAGATTTTCAGAATGCTGTTAGCAAAGTTGAAGTTGCGTTTCAAGCGCTTAGTCTTCCCACTGTAGAAATTAAAGACCTAAAATATCAGAAAACATTTCAAACAAAAGATTTAACAAAGGTCCGCAAAGAAGTTGATGATCTGAAACAGGAAGTTCAACAGCTGAGGAAACTAATGGAGTTCAATAACAGCCCCGTAGCTGAGAGATTCTTTGACGACGGCAAAGAAATGCCAGGTGGGTCTTCATTTCCTCACGAAAATATGGGGTGCTTTAACTCGCCACTGTGCACACTTCGCATTGCTTACCTCCTAAGATCTCCTTCTTTTTCCTATGTTAAGTATTTTTTATTTACTGTATACATTTTGGTACCCTCTAAGTAGTTTCAAAATATGCTTGAATACTTGAAACTTTCTCGATTCCCGTATGAACCATGTCTTCCGAATTACACCAGGTTTTTTTTTTTCAGTACAACAGTGAATGTAAATTTCGACTAATAAGTACATTTTGAAAGGTTTTTAACAAGTTTATAGATTTTAAGCTTATGTAATTGAAGCAAGCATAGCAAGACGTAAGATTACCAATCAGTACTAGTTGTCGTTTACAAGTCAGTCCAATTAAACTCTAGACGTTCGCCGGGTATTAATTAAAAACCGTAAAGACAAAACTCAACCTGTTAAACTAACGATATCTAAGGCCTGATTTCTAAATCACTATGGTGGCCTGAAAGGGCCATGAGTTTTTGGTTATGCTTCGTTATTACTTTTTTAATCATCGAAACGTCATTCAAAATTTTTATCGTTGATTTTTATTCTTAAATGTTTATCGAAAGCGTCTGTTGTTAAATCTTGTATGTTTTCATTTTCCTCAGATTTTTTTCAAATTTCATATCTATTTAGGGTTTGGTTGATTTTAATTGTACTTGTTTCTAACGTTCCCCTGTTTTTTAAACTTTTCTTTAATATTTAGTTTTATTATTATAAATATCAATTTATATTTCATTTGACTTTCTATCAAGTTTAATCTCTAATGACTTCTAACCCTGTATAAAAATAAAAGTTATGAAAAAATGTGAAAATGTGTAGAACGTACAGAGCTAGAAATAATTCACCTGATAAGCTGAAAACTTTGAATTCGATTCATCCTTTCTTTTAATAATTCGTTGCTTCCTTCTTTGTTTGTAGATAATTGATTAGAAAAATTAACTTACGTCAGTGTTCTGCTTATTCTTGATGATATTTATAACAGTCTGAATCTACACATTTACTTTGGTATTCGTCGGGGTATTTGATATCCCATTTATTGGATAGAAATTAAGCAGTAATTTGTGGCACCCTACATTAGGCCAAGCAAACGTCACATTGATTATCGTATCATAGACCTCTTTTATGAATGCATCTATTCAACCATAGTTTGGTAAAATTATCTGACTTGTAACTGGTTATGCTGCGAATATGCTTCGCAATGATCAAAAGTATCAACCCCCTCTAACTGCGAACAGCTTTGCCGTTGCAATCACCTCAATACAATGTGCATTATTTTATGCATCCAATTACACAAGCACTTTATACGCTTTGTAAAAAAAAAAAATTATAAAACATGTTTTCACCTTTTTTTCTTAGTTCCCCCAGAAATTATTGCCAGAGGACCCTCGCAGGTAGCTGCCTACAACAAGGCTCTAGAGGAGGGAGAGACTCGTGTCATGAGGTTGCCAGTTATGCTCATTGGACAAGCGCGATCTGGAAAGACAAGTTTGAAGAAGTCTTTGAAAAAAGAAAAATTTGATGAAAAAGAGCCGAGCACTGATGGAATCGAACGTGATCCCTCTTACTTCAGTGTGACAAATGAGATTGTGAGTTCAGAAGAGACAAAAGAGGAGCAAGATGTTGAATCTGCAGTTTCTTTCCATAACAGAGTAGCGAATTTTATGGTAGATGAAATTAAAAAAGGAACGAGTGGACCTAACCTTGTTTATTCAAACAGTTCAAAACTAGAAGATTCTGATGTTAAAGAAGACATGCTCGCAAAACCACAAGATAACTTCGGTGAAGCGACTGAAGAGAAGTCAGAAAAGCTGTTTAAGACTGATAAAGAATCAAACAATAGAAATCGTGTAAACGAAGTTCCAGAAAAAGCGGCAGTTTGCTATGTGAAAATGATTAATGACACCAAAAGGGAAGATAAAGATAACGTTTATTTCTGTGTCTGGGATTTTGGTGGACAGTCAGTTTACTATACTACCCATCCAATATTTCTCACCGGAAAAGCAATTTACCTTTTAGTGTATGATCTTACCAAAGATCCAGAAGGCATAGCCGAGCATATTGAAAAACAAGGTGTGTTTAGGCGGAAGGTAGACAATGAGTGCAGGAAGACCAATCAAGATTATCTTCACTTTTGGTTGTCCTCTGTCTCTGCTTTGGAAATACAAAATATGGGCCATTCCGAGTCCACAAGCCGTGGAAAACTACCAAAGAGGCTGCCCCCAGTAATCTTGGTGTGCACCCACGCTGATATTGCTGGAGAATCAGCAGAGGAGCTAGCTGCCCAAGTATATGGCTCTCTAGAGGCAAAACCGTACGGTGAACATTTGTACAAGAAGTACTTCGTGGTGGACAACACAAAGTCCGGCAGTGCAGAAGAGTGTGAAGATGTCCAGCAGTTAAGGGATGAATGGCTTGAAATTGCAAAGCACCATCCACACATGCAGAGTAAGATTCCAATCAAGTGGTTACAGTTTGAAGAGGCATTGATGGGAAAAAAGGATCATTTTATCTCCCTCGACGAAGCTAGGAGAATAGCTCGTGACGAATGTGGGATTAAAGACGTGGAACAATTTAAAACGTCGTTGAATTTCCTACACGACCTGAGAATTTTGATACATTTTGATGACACACCAAAGTTGACAGATATGGTCATTTTAGACCCCCAGTGGTTAATAGATCTGTTCAGGAAGGTGATCACAGTCAAACCCTATGAGCGTAAATCAGATGAGCCTCAGTATAAAGAATTGTGGAAAAAGCTTCAAAACAAAGGTGTCCTGGAAGAGCAGCTTATACAGGTTGCATGGGGGAGCTTCACTGACGAAACCAAAGAGATCCTTATTGTGATCATGGAGAAATTTGGCCTGTTGTGTCCCATGCCTTCAGTTGGCGAGGAGAAGCGGTATCTTGTACCATCCATGTTGATGTCTCCTCCAGGTGATAAAACAAAGGAGCTGCTTTTATCTGCCACAATTCCTCATGTTTTCATTCGTTTCAGACGAGTGTCTCGTCAAGAATATGTCCAAGTGCCCCCTGGTTTGTTTGAACGACTTGTAGTGAAGTTTCTTGCTTGGTGTATTGAAATGCAGTTCACACCTTTGTACGAAGATATGTACCAAAACTTTGTCAGATTTCCCGTCGGCTCCAAAGGATACTCAGTAATTCTGTGCTGCAATTCCTCTTCTGTCCAGGTTGTGCTTTATGAAGATCCAGTTTCTTCAAGTGAAAAGCCAGATGTGGCCGATTGTGATATAGTGTTAGACCATTTAGAAACAGTGCTTCAAAGTTTGCGCGAAGAGTGCTTTTGGCTGAAAACCATAGAATGGGAATTTAATGTAATCTGCCCTGTTTGCTGTGAGCAACGATCAGGCAAGTACTATTGTAAAGGTTGCAAAGAAGAAGAGTCTCTTCACTTCCGTTCCGAGGCCGAGTTGCAAGATGAGCAAGGTCGAATATGCAGGAAGAATACTTTGACTAAAGAAGAAATTGTTCCAGTGGAAGGATTTGCATTATGGTTTCGATCCCTAAGGAAGCAGGTTAATTATTTGGAAGGCAATTTTACTTCAGACTTAATTAATTAATTAATTTCAAAGCAAATAGCTAAGTAATTGCAGTGCGGACACCCAAACCGGATCACTTGGAGAAAGTTGTTCAGTCACAATGTTTTCTGAAAACAAGATATTCTCTTTTTTTGTAAACGGACCAATGAAATTCAAGTATTCAACTGTACAACCTTTGAAAACATTAAAACCGTTTGAACTTACCTGACCTTTCAGGAAACAATCCTCAAGTTTACGAATTTTCGCAACAAAACGTGAGAACATTTTGCTTTCAGAAAATGTTGTGATTGGACAATGAAAATCACCTCGCAGGGTAGTTAAACATAAGTTAACATCATAGAACGCCAACCGCTCATAAAAATTTACTTAGTTTGTTTAACCCTTTTAACCAGGTCATTAGTTGAAGAATTTTAACCAGGTTACCAATAATATTACCCGGTTAATATGCTTAGAGCTGCCGCAGCCAGTGGCGATTTTGTTCATTGGGATAGGTGTCTTTATCTCTCTGTAGTGTAAACCACAGGGCTAAGTGTCTTAATAATATAGTATGTCACGTTTTCTCGATTTTATGAATGGTTTTTGTTTTCTTTGTCTGTTTTTAAATAGGAGCGGAGTTTGGAGCATCTCTGTGAAGGTGATTGCATTTTTTCACGTCTTAACTAAAACATCAGTATACACACGTAAACATGTATGGCAACGTTTCAGTTTTAACTCAGCACTGCTAGATTGCCCGCACACCGTCCCTTGAAAGAAAGGCCCGTGTTGGCACCGACTGTTTTGCCGCTCATGTCTTTTACTGCCTACTACCAGTGTCCTCTGAATTCCTCTTAGGAAAGTTAGGGAGGGGGAATGAAAGAGAGCTTAAGAACTCCGTAAATCCGAACAGGAGACTCCAGATATAATGCTGTAATGAGAACGTATTCCCTTAAGGTTGGTGTGGGCTTAGCACAATGACATGTTTTAGTTTTAAAAAAAGGGAAAAAAGCCTAAGTGTTACTTGTGTCAGGTAAAGACAGGATGTCCTGTCACACTTTTAAAAGTTTCGCTGTGCGAGTTATTTATTTTAAACTTTGACTAGTTGTTTATAATGCTTATTTATTTTGCACAGTTATGACTGAATTCGTTTTGAAGAATTAAAACGGAATCCATCAGGAAATTGAGTAATTTACATTTTCAGTGGACAAAAACCTTATACCAGAATAGTTTTTAAACCAAATTGCATTCATTTTTACATTTTTCAAGGGCTAAAGATGTAATTAGTTATCTGTCATGACACCAAAGAAAATTTCTTATGAGAGCCCGAGAAAATAAATGTCAAAGTTCATAAAATGATGTCTTACATTATGAAATTTTCAGACGTTTACCTGTGTTTTCACCATTCTTGTGAAATTTGACATTTATTTTCTCGGGTTCCCATAAGAAATTTTCTTTGGTGTTATTACAGATAACTAAGCCCTTGAAAAATCTAAAAATGGTCGCAATATTCTTTAAATCATTCTTGTACAAGGCTTTTGTCCAGTGAAAATAAAAATTACTCAATTGCGCGCATGGTGGATTCTATCTTAAAAATGTTTTTACTTTATTTCCAAAGCTAGTGCGAGTGGCCCACCCGAAGTTGCTGTTACAATGCGGAAGAGTGAGAATCTTCCCAGAGAGTCAGAACCTTTAGATGAGGACCAAATTCCAATCGACATTCTGTTACTGACGGTGGAGGATTGTGAATTTCTTGGCTGTCTTTCATTTCTTAACCCCTGTTTCAGAAGATTCTACGGAGGAGATGACCTTGGTTGTGTGTACGTCGGAGATACGGGAGAAGATCAAATAAAACTGAAAATTGCTGTAATGAAATGTCATAGGGGTTCCATTACGCCAGGAGGTTCTTCAGTTTCTGTAATGGACGCTGTCGAAGTCTTAGGGCCCAAAGCTGTGTTCTCTGTGGGTTTCTGTGGTGGCTTAGATCTCACCAAAGTCAAGCCTGGAGACGTGGTGATATCAGACAAGTTGATAACATATTCCCCTTCCAAAGTTACAAGGGATGGAATTAAAGAGACCGGTGTAAAAGTTCCCTTGAAATCCCGTCTTTCGAGGTTGATCCTAAATGCTAGAGATGGATGGAATGCACCTTTGAAGAATTCCAAAGAGCAAGAGCAGGTGAAAGTATATTGTGGGGCTTTTCTAAGCGGACCAGAAGTGATTGAAGACAGTAAGCAGTGCATTGCACTTCGAAGCCGATTTCCAGAGGCCCTTGCTGTCGAAATGGAAGGGGAAGGTAAGAGTGTGACATTTTTTTCGATTTTTGTTAGCGGGTTTGATGATAGTGAGGGCCTAAATGAACAACTTGAGTTGCTGATAACAGTCTTACATGCCGTTTATCTCATTTCACCCTAACGGTCGTGTTACCTAATTAAAGTGTGCTTCACCATCGGATTTGCATAGCCCTAATTGGTTACTTGCGCACTAAGTTTCTTGTCATCTTGCGTCAAGTCAACTCTTGGTGACTCTCATTCTCCACTGAACCCGATTTTTGAATCTCCACGCGGTAGTCAGACAATAACTTTATTTCGAACGTTACTAAATGTCGCCTAAATGTCAAAGTAACTGTAATTTCTTTTAATACTCGACTGCCAGCCGTTGTTCGGGAAATGAACCCGTTCTCCTTCCGTTCCATCAAATTGGTTTAACTCATATTTGGAAAAGTAAACGCAAATATGTTCTTTTAGTGGTCCACTTTCCAAATCCTGCTTCCTCCACTGTGTTATCCCCCAAGGGATAATAATGGGTCTCCTGATGTTTTTATACATAAACAGCTTACCAAACTGCTCATCTAACCCTTTTCCTAGGGTGTATGCCAATGATACGATTTTACATAGCTTATAACGGAGTCATTGTAATTCATTCCTGTCCGAATTAGGATTCAATCAATTTTGCCATGCGTAAATAAAGATTTCCTTACCTTACCGTTACGGCGGACTCTTCAGTGGTCGAAACCCACCAATCACAAGTGACATCCGTGTTGTACCAATCACTAGCAACCACGTTGCTACTTATGCTCACACTTTCAGACAGCGGATGAAAACCATGCAGTATGCGGTCGAAATGTAGCGAGTCAAACGAGAAACGTTCCCTACCATATGTACTACACGATGAAATTTTTCATTACATGCTAACGGATCCATGGAATATGAACCCCCCACTGGTGCATCCACCCCGTAAATACGGTAAATTCTTATGGTTCGTGACGGTAGTCCACTGTATATTTATGTCACAAACAATGTTTCCACCTAGGTTTATATGCAGCAGCTCATAAACGGGACGTTGAATGGATCATCATTAAAGGTGTCTCCGAATATGCAGGTGACAGCACATCTGACACAACCGCCTGGAGAGAATTTGCCAGTTTAGTGGCAGCTTCCCTAACGGCTCATATTCTTAGTGATGCTACTGTTTTCCAAAACTGGCCTCACTATAAAAGTGCAAGTAAGTGCTTCTTAACATAGAATTTAAGCTCTTATGTCCCGCGAAAATTGCCCATCAAACAGCAACTCACTTGTTTTGTCGTTTCTATGTGTTTTAGTCCTTCCAATTACGTGTAGGAACACAAGTAAAGTAACCAAAAGCTACACCTCCAACCCGTCCACAAAGCGAAAAACCATTGTGGGCTGGCCCAATTCTTCCCCTCAAACTATCACGTGATACTGTGGTTTTGGAAGGGGACTTATGGTCAACTGTTTACTCATAACAGCTTATCATCATTATTTTTTCTTAATGCATAGACTGCATAAGGGATTTTGAACTTGGGCTCTGGGCTCTGTTTAGGCTAAAAGATTTGTGTTTTCTTTTAGAAAAAAGAAAACTGCCTTCAGATTAGTCACGCTCATGGCAATATGTTCTGCAGACTAGCACACCAACCTGAACCCTGGAGGAGTAGCGCGAACTGTTGACTTCGCCCAGTAGAGTGACAACGGCTATCGCCTTTTTCCCACCAAAATGACGTTGGTTCGCTCGCACGCGGTGCTTAGTATTGAGAAAAATCTCGTCCTCGTAGTGGTCCTCGTCTTAGAATCTTAAGGTCTCTAGAATCAAACATTTGAGAAAAGCAGAGGTAAACTAAATTATTTAGGAAAAGAAACGGAAAGGGAACGTATTAAGTAGTATTTATCGAGAGACTACTTACGTACTCTCGTACCTGCTTTCATCACTTTCAGGTCAGATTACTGCAATAGGCCATTGCCGGAAAATATTACATCATTCCCTAAAGTGCAATTTGTGAATATTATGGTGTTTTTCGAAGTGGCCTAGCCTTCCCAAAGAACAAATTGCTAAGTTGTGATTAGCTAAGTTAAGTTGCGATTCTACTGGTAGAAAGACTCGAGTCCTACTTTGCTTTCTCAAAACTTGCACTGAACTGGTTGAGATGATACCTTGAAAACCAACGGCAATCAGTAATGTTATTGGAGATCAAGGGTCCACTCAGCGCTCTGTGTTATGGTGTCCCACAAGGGTCTATGCTTGGACCGCTACTCTTCACCCTGTATATTGCCCCTCTACAGGATGTAATTGCTCGCCATGACCTGAACTCTTTGTTTTATGCACATGACACTTAACTGTATATAGCTATCGATCCTGCAAATGAGGCTCCGTCCCTGACTACCCTCCAAATCTGTATGGATGATGTAATGCGATGGAACACGCAAACTATGCTAAGAAGTTATGCTGAAAAGGCAGAAGTTATATCGTTCACATCACGATTTACCTAACATTGAAAAGCTCTTTTTTGACGGTACCGTCATTGATTTCTTTGAGAGATAGAGTTCGTGATCTTGAAGTTATTTTGAACAAAAACCTAAGACTGACATACCACATAAAAGAGACTTGCAGAAAAGAAACCAATGCCATCAGGTCTATAGGGCGCATTCACAAATATCTCACTAACGGAAACCTAAATAAATTTGTAAATATCTTATTATCCACTCCCCACAGGGCTTTTCAGGGATAATTTGCAACACTGTTTGGGGGACTTTGCCAGACTGCTTAAGGTGCAGTTTACAAGTACTGAAGGAATGAGTGATGATGCCCCCATACATGAGTGTGAAAGTGAGATAGACCACTACACCGGGCACTACGTGCCCTACTCTTTACGAAGAGTGTGTGGGTTCTTTAACGTCCCACAGATTTATTACATGTGCAAGGGCTTGTGAGACGGGGCCTACGGTTTATCATCCTTATCCAAGAAGACTAGAAAGTCTAACCATTTGCAGATGTTGTTACAAAGGCAGCACTTTCTCCTCAGTTATTTAAAGACCCTGAGTGTTGGTCCGGCCGGGGTTTGAACCTACGGCCTCCCGCGCAGCAGACCGGCGCTCTCGCAACTGAGCTAACTGTTATTCAATGCTCTTGTTCTATCACGTTTGAACTACTGTAAGAGTATCCTTTATAGTCTTCCAAAACAAGAACTGGATAGACTTCAAAGAGTTCAAAACACTGCAGCGCGTCTTATTACTGAAACTAAACAATATAACCTCATCAACCCTACTCTTCGAGAACTACTGTGGCTGCCAGTTGAATCACGTTTAATATTGAAAGTTATTCCTATTACTTTTAAGATTCGTTACGGACTTTTTTTTGTTCTATTTGTCGTCCCTGTTAGAAAAATACAATCCACCCCGAAGTCTTCGCGCTCGTCCATCCTCCAAATCACTTTTTACTGTCCCCACTCATACGGTGAACGTACGTTTTCCTTCTGTGCATCTGCATTATGAAATACTCTTCCCGATTGTCTTTAAAATGCAAACTCTCTTTTGTCCTTTAAATCTGCCCTGAAAACATTCCTATTTCGGAAATTTGTTTTTGATTATATTTATGAGTTATTTCAATTTATTTTATACATCTTTTTATTTTTGTTACCAGAAATATTACTGGAGACTATATTTAGCGTTAAAACTGTTTCCTGTCGTCGATTGCGACGGATTGTAAAGATGGACATGGATTGCAATTAAACAGTGGGACGAACGCTGTAGTAATAATTATAATAATAACTGTTGATTCACAAAAGAAAAGGAGATTTGAAACGGGTTAACCCTGTCTACTTCATCTCCCCAAAAAAGTACAATAACATGAATATACATAAGAATAAAATATGAATAATCTATTTGCATGCTGATTAAAATACAATGGACATGTCTAGATAATTTAACATTCGGCTGAAACACTGGTTAAATAACGCCTCAACGGAACCATTTCCATCATTATTTCCATTTCCATTCATCAGTTATACGAAAAAAATAAGAATGTTTAAAACTAAGTTTAAATATTACCCAAAAATAAAGTCAAAAAGGCAAAAGTCCTCTCTTCCGTGATCAACTCCTGGTTACTCGGAAAAGACTTCCTCGAGGGCGACTGGAAACGAGGAAGTGAACTGTGTAAGACCTCAACGATCGCATATCAAACAAGAATCGCCGAAAGGCGATTTTTAACTGGGCTGCAAAGGGGCTATTTTTTCTGAAGGGAGGGGGCGGCTATACACACTCAGGCTACCATAAAACCTTGTCGGCAACCATTGCATGCGACAGAACCTCAGGTGAGACTGAAACATAAACTCATTCAGAACATTGTACCCTTTTGAAAGACTTTCGTAACCAAAAAAAAGAGTACCATTTTTAAGTGGGGGCTGTATAATAACTTTTAAATTCCACCATTATGAATAAAAATAACAAGTTAGCCATTAATTCTAAGCAGGAAACAATTTGCATTATTTCCACGCATCCCTCCCCCAATCCCTCTGTGCCCCAAAATATAGCGTGACAGTATAATGTGACTAATTTGACTTAACTGGAAATTCCAAAAATTGTTGTCGTTCTACGAGCATAAAATGCGACAGACTGAGCTGATTTACACTAGACAGAAATATTGTATTGTATGAAAACCAGAAGTATACTAAAACAGACAGTTAACTGCCCATTGATCCCGCCTGATCCAGGGGCCTCACTGACTGCACTGAGACTTTACTGCGCTTTTCACAAACATGCGTACTCTAAAGTTCAAAAGCCACCTTCACAATTGTGTTTATCGCTGCCGTCAATCATAATTACGATCACAAGCAACGAACCTTGAAACAGAGAAACACACAAAACGGATCGAAATCCACAAATCACAAACCATGACCTTTTGAACCCGTGAAGTAAAGTTTTGCTTCCTAAGAGGTCCGTTAAGATGATTGACAGCAGCGAAAAACGCAATCGTCGGTTGGCTTCTTAAGAGGCTGTCCGCGTAAGAACCGATAAGGCAAATTTCGGTCTATCACGGATTGCCCTGATTTTTTCAGTGGAAGATGACTATCCTGTCCCATGAAGAAATATCACATTTATTTGGACCAACTCAATTTTTTGTCTATTTTACAGGAAGATTTTCTCGGTCACCTAAAACTAGTCAGTTTGCCGTCGGAAGTAGTGCGATTTTGGTGAAACTTTAGGGCTCTGTCAAACCTACCTTACATAGCCGAATATTCTGATTATTTTACACACAAACGTTTTAACTCTCATTAATAGTTTCAATGCTTAATGGTTGCATTCTGTGGAAAGTTGGTTGAGATATGATTTTTTGAAAATGACCGTTAATTTGCTCAGCAGGAAAAGTAATTTGCATAACTAGAGCTGAACGGTAATTTCGCAAAAGTGGCACCTGACCCAGACTCAAGTCTATGATAAATCAGAAGTACTAAGACCAGTCTACTTCTTAACGCAATAAAATTTGTGGGCACTCTTCTTTGCGTGCCGTGCAAAGTTCCGTTAATGTTCCAAAATTCGCCATTTTGACAGCAAAGCTGGAATTGTAACGGGTCCGCATCTGATCGACTAATTTCCACAGCTTTAACGTTTCCAGTTATCACTAAATATCATTAGACCCTTTAAATGCTGGACGTTTGAAAACATGTGGAGAAAACTTAGTAATCGCTTTTCCTTGGGTCTTTTTCTTGTCGACGATGAACGTGACTTCGTTCTCGGTATGCAAATTAGCCTTAGATGCGTTGTTTCAACAAATTGACAGGAAATATAATCGTTACATTCACATTTCTAAGGGGAAAAATAATTCTCCTTTCCACAGAAAAACACAAACCATGACTTAGAATCCCCTTAAGGTCTGTTTTTTTTTAACGAGGAAGAAGCAGCTGAATAATATATCATGATACATGTTTGCGGCTTAAAATAATTCAATTACTGTGGCCTGTCACGCATTCCTGAAGACGGGTGGTCGATTAGAAAACAATAGCGTTGTGTCGATCAATTCGATAATATTATCATCTTTTTTTTAAATGATAGTTATTGATAATAATAAAAAATAAGAGTTCACTTGCAAGGTAATTCCTCCTGTCAGCACACGAAAATGTTTGGGCACTCTTTTTTGCGTGCCTTTATAAAAAATAGCGTTAACGTCGAAAGCTTTATTATGATATTTGCTTATCGGGAGAAGGCAGATCTTTGTACATGGCACTATGATAAAAAAAAAAAAAGGCCTTACTCTTTTTCTATCTTAAATTAGCGGTAAATTTCAGTTTCATTCAAAGATCTTTAAAGTGTTTATCGGTAGCTTATCGGTAGCAGAATGAAAAGGGAAAAATAGTTCCTTTTTTCAGTGAATAAACGCAAAAGGGAGTATCTTTTCAGTTTTTGTTCGGGGTATAACATCCGAATTCCAAGGATGATCTTGTTTTGGTTTCAATCTGATTGAATTATAATGCAACAGGTGCCAGTTTCAAATTAAATATAATTATGTCACTGAAATCGCCGAAGAGATCAATTGTGAAAAATGGCTTTTTCGGCTATTTCATCAAGCAGTTCTTCCGCGAGATCGTAGACAGAGTGAGGTCCCGGAAGTGGTGTGGAGGAAAATGTGTTGGTCACAGAGTGCATGGATGATATTACCTCGCACTTAGCCAGCTGTCACTTGTCTAAGTGTAGCAAGTGTAGCAAAGACAATGAAAATGAACTCATTTTAGCGAGAGTACGTATTCGAGGCTTGGTGGGTATTCGGAACTGAAATGACAATCTGCCCAAGGCACAGACACTAAATAGCCTGCGTACAGACCCCCTCCTCTCAGGAAAAATCGGAGAAGGGGCCGCTTCTCCCAAGGGGGGGAAGGTA